ATCATACCCTCCGTTGTTAGGCCCTCCAATGACCCCTTGCCTCTTTTTTGCATTTGGACCCACAAAGTAAATTTCAGAGAAGTTCAATATTTCTTGCTGCTCATAGGCAGACAACAGATGTTTATACTGTTTCAGTGCTTGCTCTGGAGCTTGAGCGACAGCTTTATGTGTTTTTGATGAACTACCACTAGATTTGGCTGTGCCTAAGCTGTCCGTGCTTTTATCTTTCGTCAGGGAAGGAAGAGATCTATCCGACACACTGATCCCTGCAGACTGAAGCGTACTGCTCCTTCTGTTTCCAGAGTCCTCAAATAATTGCTCAACTTTGACCTGACTTCCAGTCAGGGGATGATCCTTCATTGTGAGTTTGTTGCTAGTGACCTGCGGGAATTAAAACAAAAAAAACACGACACAAGAAAGTTTAAATGTTGGGTTTTTTACAATGCACGGGACAAAATGTAATAATACCACCTCGAACAAAGTGCTGTCATTCAGCAAGAGTTTTACATTTATTTTCAGAGCATGCATCTATTCGACAGCACACTGTTACCTTAACCAACCGGAGTTACGTGCCTGCCATACACAGGGATGGAAACAAAATGCAATGGACTTTTGAAGATGTAATGAGCACCAACACACACCATACCTTCATGGCATCTGACACAGTAGGCTGTTGCCCAAAAAAGCTTATGCCTTTCGGATTAAGTCTGTAAGGTGCCATCCTGCCCTGCTTTCTCCCATGTCTTCAGAGAAGGTACACCTTAGGCAGCCATTCCCCTAAGGGCAAAATGCCTATCCTTACTCGCATGCATCCAGCCAGAAGAAAAGCACTGCAGTTCAGCATGGCCACGTTTAGGCTCATAGCATGACACAGGGAGAGATGCAGCTTGCAGCTGTCTGAGCTGTGCAATCTAGCTTGAACATATGAAGACTATTCTGTGGACAAGAGTGTAGAGGGGAAAGACAAAAGAAAGAGTGCAGACAGGGCACGGGTGGGGAAATCAGGACGGACAAAGAATAGGAGGACTGAAAACACAGGGGTGAGAGGAGGAGAATGACAAAGCATGATTTGGTGATGAGCAATACCCAGCGTGCCCAGCCAGTAGGGTTACTCAAGTGTATTCAAGACCTTGTTGCAGAGGCGTAATCAAGAATACCTGCGTTAATCCGCTTCTCTGCAGTCCTCTAGGTCATTCCCACTCACTGCTCTAAGTTAATTTGGGCTTAAATAGTTTCCCGTCTACCAACAGAAAAATATAAATAGTAAGAAAGTGGTATTGTGAAATAGTCAAGGCTTGTCATTTTTACAAGTTTCTGAATGAGCAACCGCTGAGCTTCCGGAAACTGTTCCTCCCTTACAACATCCATGCCCTCCCTCAGGAATCCCCCCTTCTCAATTCACCAAGGCTCCACACTGCGAGGAGGCAAGAGGTGTTACTTTCCTCTGCGCAACCCTGAAGAAGTCACGACTAGTGCGGCAACATCTGTTTCCCATTCTGTCTTTTCATCTCAAAATAAAGATGTAAGACATGTGCCAAACCCAATCCTTGGAACTGAAATAACTCCTTGGGAATCGAGCAAAAATATAAATAAACCTGGAGATCCAGAGCAATAAAACCCAATTCCTTTTTAGCTACATACAACCCACCATCTCAGCGCAGTCAGTAAATAAAGGGGAATGACTATTCCAGCCAAAAGCCACCAGACACACCTCTTTCTGTAAAGATCCATCTGGTTGGTGCTGCACTGAACCATTAGTTCTTGCTTTGTGGCCCAAGACCATAAAAATGCAAGCTGCCATTTAAATCATTGCTGTTCAGACCCCTGGGATCTTCTGTTCAAAGTCCTGTTACCCAGGGCTGTGCCTGTCCAGAAAAGCCAGCAGTGCATAGCTAAGAGACACACCTTTCCAGGAAATCACTAAAAAAATGATAACCTAGAGCAAACACTTTCTTCTTCTGAGCCTGTGGGGGAAGTGCTGAGATAAAGAGTGACAGACGTTGTGAGGGCTGAAGAAAAGGCTATTCACATCAAACAGATCAAAACTTTAAACTCCCAAATGAACAGAACGTCCAGACTTGGCACAAGGTTCTGGGGGCTTGGGTTTTTTTATTTTCTTTTAAAGATGTCTGAAAACCTAGTGTCTGCCCTTGGAGGGGAAATTTTACTCAGCCAGGTCTATTTACTACTTCCACTACCAAATTTGGATGAAGGCCATAATCCTGGTTTTTGAAAATTCACCTCTGCTAGCCTTTTAGGGTATTCTTCACAAAAGAACCGGTGTTATTTAAATGAATTCACCATTCAGGGCAGGGAGGATTTGTAGGGGCCAAGAAGCTATGGGCCACTGCATTATACATCATCTTCCATTGTGCACCGACCAGTTTTTTAGCTTTAAAAAGGTTCTTCAGAAGCTCATCAGGCTTCCTGCGGATATAGTCAGAAACGTTTCTTGGTAGAAGGACAACAGCAGCCACTTGAAAGTCCACTGTAGATACAAGTTTCAGATGCTTGAAACACTTTACTGGGTAGGTGGTTAAGCCCACTAACTTTCCTTGGCTTTTTTAAGGGGAA